TAATTAGTATTTGGCATTTCCTCCTTTTCTAATCCCCCTCAACAAATATTATTATCAAAAATTCTGGGAAAGTGTATAACGAAAGTTATTTTTTATTAAAAGATGGCATTTCAAAATTGACATACTTGACTTTGTCTTGAAGGAAGCCTCATGTAAATGTGTAAAAAAATCTGATTGTGGTATTTTTACTTTAGGAATATCAAATTATGACTGTTTTATGTGTTTTTTTTTTGTGTTATAACAGGTTTGTATAAATTGTCATTGGTCATTGTGATTTTGTAACGTAAATTCTGCAAAGATTGATTTGCGTATTGTTTGTTGCATATGTATTGTGTTGCATGTGTATAAGATTGATTCAAGCTCCTTTTACTCTGTTATTGTTAGTGTATTTAACTTCTTTTTTTAGTATTGGCAACCAAAGCCTGCTAAATTATGATGATTGGTTTAGGTACAAGTTTTTCTTCGTTGGGTAGGATAAGGGCTGCGTTTTTTGATTTTCTATTTTTCATGCCTGTTTATTTTATGAATATTGATTAATCTTTTTATTATGGCCTGTATTTGTTGCCCCAGGTATGTTTACATATTTGCCATTTATCGAAGGCTCTGTTTATTACTATGTAAGTTTATGCTTCTACTGCAGATAAAGATGACGACGATATCGAACTTAAAAGTCTTAAAATCAATAAAGAAACATCACACTACAATAGTAATGGGCGACTTCAATGCCAAATTTGGCCAGGGAAGAGTGGATGGATATGTGGGGGAATATGGTCTAGGAAATAGAAATGAAACGTAGATGACCGTATTGATACAATTTTGCCAGACGGAAGAATTTTTAATAGCTAATACACTTTTTAAACTACCAAAAAGCAGATTGTATACATGGAAATCTCCCGGTGATACAACGAATAGAATATCTCGAAATAAAATTAACTTTGTCCTGATTAGACAAAGATTTCGTAATTCTTACTACTGTCTGTCAAAACTTATCCTCGAGCAAATATCGGTTCAGACCATAACCCCATAGTAGTCACATTACGAACCAAATTAAAACTAATTAAAAAACACAAAGTAGAATTGATATTAAGAGATTAAGGGAATTACAAAAAAAGGAGCAAACTGAAATTCTACGTAATGCTCAAAAACTAAATAAAAAAAGCTATAACATTGATCAGAAATGGGAAAATATAAAAGTAGCAGTAATTAAAATGGCAAACGAAAACTTAAAACCAAAGAAAAGAAAAGTTAAAGACTGGATGCCTGAAGAAATATTACTATTAATGAATGACAGAAAACCATTCAAAATAAAAAATCCAATTAAATATAATGAAACTGATCGATTAATTAAAAAGAGAATAAAAGAAGCTAAGGAGAGAATAACCTAGAATAGAGAGAGAATAAGAGAAGAAATAAGAATAACCTTCTCTAAGAAGTGCAAAAAAGTATGCCCTCTATTGGGAAGGGTGTATCATAATAAATACGGAAGTTATTTCTTGTGATGCACAAACACCAATTATTTCCTCAACCATAAATAATTCTGTGAATCTGACACAGGATAATAGCGAAATGCCTTAAAATAATTGATATACAAAATGAAAGCAAAATTGCTAATTCAAACAACCTCAACAAAAAAAAAGAAAACATGAATGTAACACTGATATAAAATAATACTATCATAATATAATCATTAGCCAAAATAGTTATGCAGAAAAATACGCTACATAACAGGAGACTTTAAAGCCAGAACTTTAAAGACCCCACAGAAACCCTAAAAAAGTAGAGAAATCAAGAATATATTTCTGGGATCTATATAAAGATGATCAAAACCAGGAGCCCAACCTTGAAGAGCTCGAATAAACACCTGTAAACTCAAGTCGGTATAACAAAGCATCAAGTCCAGATATGATTAAAGCAGAAATTCTGAAAGCCACCGAAAAAACCGGAATGAAATTTTCTACGCAAAATGTTCTACATGGTCAAATAGAAACACTTATGGGAGATACTAAAAGAAGAAGCGTAATAGAACAAAAGTAAAAGATGATGTCGAATAGGCAACTAAACTGAAACGGAAATGGGCTGGACATAACAAACGTATTAAGGATGGCCAATGGAATAAGAAAATTGAAAATTGGCGGCCCCATGAATCCAAAAGACCACGAGAAAGACCGCAAATGTGTTGGAGCGACGATATTAAAAGAACTGCTAAACCAATGTGAAAACGTCTTACAAACAACAGAGATGAATGGCGAGAATTAGGAGAGGCCTATATTCGGCAATCCGAATAGAAATGAGGGCTTAAAAAAATAAGTAGACGTTTCACAACACTTAATTTCGCTTAGAGCTGAACTGAACGAGCAAACTACTTGAACAGTTAAACTACTTGCCATAACGCATGTCCCTAAAGTTTTTGGAAAAAAAAAATGTATTTTCTAATTGTAAATTAAGTTTATTTTATTAACTAAATACAGGAAAGTAAGTCGACATATTTAAGGTTCATAAT